GATGGCCTATTCTGTCTCAATCTCCACTCCAGGAGTGTGCTGCTGCTTTTTTTTTTTTTTTTTTTTTTGGCATCTATGAAGGGAGGTCTCAATACTTTACAGATTGTTTGGTGAGTGATTCCCACCCTCCCTGTATTTATTTTCTAAAAAGAAATAAAAGAGCAAGATGAAATTTTGCAAATTGATGATTTAGTCCATAAATTCATTTTCCTCCCATGTCAATTCACTTTTTTATTCTATTATGCTGTTTTAAGAGATCTGGAAAGGGAAGATCTTGTTTAAATTCAGTAAAACATAAAATACTTGCTTTTTCCATGTGAAGAAAAAATTTGATCCCCATCTCATACTTCTCCAATTCCAGAAAGACCAAAAACTTAAATATTAAAACAACAACAACAACAAAAACACTTAAAACTATTAGGGAAAATAGGAGAGTATAGTTTGAATTTGGGATTAGAAAGTATTTCTTAGATGAAATCAAAAGGAAAAACCACAAGAGGTTGATAAATTTAACTCACTAAAATTTAAACAAAGTTAAAAAACAAGTACAGAGAAAAGATATTTGTAACAAATGTATCCAGAGTAAAAAACTCATATTTAATCAACAAGGAAATGAAAATAAGCCAATAACATCTAATCACAGTATTCACAGAAGAAATCATTCAAAATGACTAGGGAAAAGGAGGAGAAAGGGAAAAGATGTTGAATCATACTAGTAATCAGCAAAATGTGAATACATGGAATAAAATATCATTTCACACCTATCAGAGTGACAAAAATTTTAAAGTCTCACAATAGCAAGTGTTGGGAAGGATCTAAAACCATGGGAATCAGTAAAAGCATTCTGAAGGGCAATTTGGCAATACCAGATAAAGATATACAACCTAGCAATTGGGAAACTGGATTTTTGAGGTGGGTCTTGTGAGGTGGCAGGATTCTGGCAGGCAAAGATAAGAGAAATGACATCCAAATAAAATAAAACCAAAAGAACAATACGAGCACAGTCAGAGACAGGAACCCATCTGAGGACTGACAAGACTGTTTTCTAAAGTGGCTACACCATTTTTTACATTCCCACCAGCAGTATGAGTTTTCACTTTCTCCACATCCTTGTCAACACTTGTTATTATCTGACTTTTTGATTACAGCCATCCTAGGGGTGTAAAGTGCTATCTGATTGTGGTTTTGATTTGCATTTCCCTGATATTATGTAGGAACTGTTTCATGTGTTTATTAGCCATCTGTATATCTTCTTTGAAGAACTATCTATTCAGGTTCTTTGCATATTTCTTAATTGGGTTGTCTTTTTATTATTGAGTTGTTAAGAGTTCTTGATATATTCTAGGTGCAATCTATAACTAGATGTCTTATCAGACAGATGATCTGCAAATATTTTACCCCATTCTGTAGGCTGTCTTTTTGCTTTCTTGAATGTCCTTTGAAACACAAAAGTTTTCCCCTTTTTAAAAAAAATTACTTTTATTATTTTTTTTAACTTATTTTTTAAATGTTTATTTTGAGAGAAGAGTGCACACAAGCAAGGGAGGGGCAGGAGCAGAGAGAGAGGGAGAGAGAGAATCCCAAGCAGGCTCCACGCTGTCAGCACAGAGCCTGATGCAGGGCTCGTTCTCATGAACCGTGAGATTATAACCTGAGCCAAAATCAAGAGCTGGATGCCTAACCGACTGAGCCACCCAGGTGCCCCCAAAACTTTTTACTTTTGATGAATTCCAATTTGTCTATTTTTTTTCTTTTGGCTGTTTGTGCTATTGGTGTTACATAGTTAAGAAACCACTGCCAAATCTTAAGCTCACAAAGACTTACCTCCAAGCTCTCCTGCATAAGTTTTATAGTATTAGCTCTTATATTTAGGGCTTTGGATCCATTTTAAGCTAATATTTGCGTATCATGTGAAGTACTTCATTCTTTCATATGTGGATATACAGTGTCCCAGCACCATTTGTTGAAATGATTATTCTTTCTCTATTGAATTGTTTTTGGTATGCTTGTTGAACATTGACCATAAATGTGACAGCTGGCTTCTGGCTACTCAATTCTATTCCACTGATGCATATGTCTACTCCTATGCCAAAATCACATTGTGGCAAAAATCACAATAAATCCACATTTATTATTGTAGCTTTCTAATAAGCTTTGAAATTGGGAAGTGTGGGTCCTCCAACTTTGTTCTTTTTCAAGATTGTTTTGGCTAATATGGGTCCTTTGAATTTCCACATGAATTTTATTAACACCTTGTCAAAATCTGCAAACAAACCAGCTAGAATTTTGATAGCGTTTATTTTGAATCTGTAGATCAATTTAGGAACTATTACCATCTTAAAAAATATTAAGTCTTTCAATCCATGAACATGGGATGTTTTTCCATGTATTTAGATCCTAATTTCTTTCAACATGTTAGAGTTTTCAAAGTATAAGTTTTACACTTCTTTTGTTAAATTTATCCCTAAGTACTTTTATTCAATTCATTTGCTATAAATTCATAATGCTGTACATGGAATGGTTTTCTTAATTTTATTTTTGGGTTGTTTATTATAACTATAGAAATACAATTGATTTTTATATATTGATCCTGTATCCTATAACCTTGCTGAACTCATTTATTAGTTCTATCAGTTTGTGGGTTCCTCAGAATTTTGTACATGCAAGATTGCATCATCTGCAAATACAAATACTTTTACTTTTCATTTCATTTTCTTACCCCATTGCCCTAGTTAGATCCTCCAATACAGTGTTCAATAGAAAGGGTAAGACTGCACATCCTTGTCTTATTCTCAGTGTCAGAAGAAAAGCATTCAGTCTTTTAAAACTAAGTGTAGTAATAGCCATGGGTTTTGCATAAATGTCCTTTGTCAGACTGAGGAAGTTCCCTTCTATTCCTAATTTGTTGGGCTGTTTCTTTGTTCTGTTTTGTTTTTTTAATCATTAAAGGGTACTGGAGTTTGGCAAATGCTTTTTCTGTGTCTACTGAGATTATGTGGGTTTTGTCATTTAACCTTTTAATATGATGCACTCACTGCACTGATTGATTTTCCTATGCTGAATGGATCTTGCACCCCTGGGATAAATCCCACTTGGTCACAGTGTATAATATAATCCTTTCTATAACTTATTGGACTCATTTTGGTAGTATTTGTTGAGGACTTCTGCATTTATATTCAAATGGGATACTGGTTCTATAGTTTTTTGTGATGTCTTTGTCTGGTTTTGGTATCAAGACAACACAAACTAGTCTCACAGGAATTAGAAAGTGTTCTATTTTTGAAGGAGTTTGTGGACAGTTAGTGTTAATTCTTGTTTAAATGTTTGTCAGAACTCACCAGTGAAACTATCTGGTTCTGGGCTTTTCTCTGGGGGAATTTTTTTTTTTTTATTACTAATTCCACTTACTTGTTATTAAGTCCATTCAGATTTTCTATTTCTTCATAAATCAGCATTGATAATTTGTGTATTTCTAGTAATATGTCCATTTCACCTAGGTATCTAATTTGTTGGCATACAACTGTCCATAGTATTCCCTTATAATCCTTATTTTTGTAAAGTCAGGAGTTAAGTCTCCTGTATCATTCCAGATTTTAATAATTTGAGTCTTTTCCCTTTTGTTCTTGATCAGTCTAGATAAAAGTTTGCCAACTTTGTTGATCTGCTGAAAAACAATAAACTTTCAGTTTATTGATTTTTTTTTCTATTTCCTCCCTCCCTCCCCTCTTTCCTTTTCTCTTTTCCTTTCCTTTTCTTTTGAAAGAGAGAGACAGCATGTGCAAGAGAGCAGGAGAGGGGAAGAGGGAGAGAGAGAATCTGCCCAGCGCAGAGCCCAACACACGGAGCTCAATCTCATGATCCTGAGAGATCATGACCTGAGCCAACTCAGAAGTCGACACTTAACCAATGGAGCCACCCAGACACCTTTGTTTTTCTACTTTTAAATTTCTTTTATTTCTGCTCTAATCCTTATTATTTCCTTCCTTTCCCTTATTTTAGGTTTAGTTTGCTCTTTTTTCCCCCCAATATGTTAGGGTGAATTAATTATTTGTTTTTAATGCAGGCATTTACAGCTATAAATTTCCTTCTAAGTACCACTTTAACTACACCCCATAAATTCTGGTGTGCTGTGTTTAATTCATTCCAAGTATTTTCTAATTTCCCTCATGATTTCTTCTTTGACCCACTTGTTATTTAGGAGTGTGTTAATTTTCACATAATTGTGAATTTCTTAAATTTCTTCTATTTTTAATGTCTAGTTTCACTCCATTGTGGTTGGAGAACATATTTTGTATGAGTTCAATACTTTAAATGTATTGAGAGTTGTTTTATGGCTCAGCATATGGTCTATCCTGAATGTTTCACGTGTACTTGAGAAGAATTATATTCTACTGTTGGACTGTCCTACAGATACTGGTTAGATATGATTGGTATACAATGTTGTTCAAATTTTCCATTTCTTTGTTGATCTTGTGTCTGGTTGTTCTATCTATTATTGAAAGTGAGGTACTGGAAGTCAGCAGGATGCAGTGGTCAAAGAAAGTGAGGTCAAAGAAAGTGAGGTACTGAAGTTTCCAACTATAACGGCTGAATTATCTCTTTTGCTCCTCATTTCTGTTACCTTCTGTTTTGTGTATTTTGGGGCTCTATTGTTAGGTGCATATGTAACCATTACATCTTCAGGCTGGATTGACCCTTTATCATTATAAAATATCCCTTTTTATCTCCAGTAACATTTTTTGGGGGGTTTGTTTTAAAGTCTATTCTGATGGGGCGCTTGGGTGGCGTAGTCGGTTAAGCGTCCGACTTCAGCCAGGTCACGATCTCGCGGTCCGTGAGTTCGAGCCCCGCGTCAGGCTCTGGGCTGATGGCTCGGAGCCTGGAGCCTGTTTCCGATTCTGTGTCTCCCTCTCTCTCTGCCCCTCGCCCGTTCATGCTCTGTCTCTCTCTGTCCCAAAAATAAATAAAAACATTGGAAAAAAAATTTAAAAAAAAAAGTCTATTCTGTCTGATATTAGTATAACCATTTTAGCTTTCTTATGGTTGCTATTACATTATCTTTTTCCATTCTTTTACTGTCAGCATTTTTGTATCTTTGAATCTAAAGTGGTATCTCCTGTAGACGGTATACAGTTGGATCCTGATTTTTTTTTTTTAAATCCAGTATGGCAATATCTGCCTTTTTATTTTATATACAGCAGATTTAATGAAGGCATCAGAACAGCAGGCTGTGTTGAAAAGTGAGTAAAGATGTTGACAGTAAAGGAAAAGAGAGGAGATGACAGCCTAAGGAGGTAAGAGGATCCATAGGAATTTTTTTTTGGAAAGGACTCATTCCTTCTGAGAATCGGGAGAAAGAATCTCCTGCTCTGGCTCTCTTATGGGAGCCATCATAGTCCAGCAGGAAGAACAGGTGCTCTGAAGGCAGGCAAACGTGGATTCAAAAGTCCAGTGTACCACTAACCAGACATGAAATCATAGGCAAGTCTCTTTACCTGAGCCTCAAGAACACAGGGCTATAATATACTACAGGGTAGAAAATTAAGACTTAGCATGCAAAATACCTAGCATAAAACTTGGTACAGAGTAGTAAGTACTTGAATAAATTAGTCCCCACCCCTATCCCTTTCATTAAAAGTTCCCTAAATGGTCTTATTTAATGAAAATCTTCTAGATCCTCAATCACGTCCCTTACCTCCTGCCTTTCCCTCCCCCTTACATGACTCCTGGTGATTAAACCTATTATTGCTTGGCCAAACACAAACTGGACAAAAGCAAGATCCTACCTAGTGTGGCTCTTTATGCAAACATCGAACCAGTCACTATGCTTTGAATATAGGTAATTTTTTGTGTACTGTTGTGTTTATGTATACTTACAATCTTTTATACATTATAAAGCATTTTTGTCTCTTTAAAAAAATTTATAAATGAAAGTATCCCCACATTTTTGCATTTTTCTCACTCATTTTCAGTCTATTATTTCTGCTTTGTGCTACTGGTTAATAGTGAGAGTTAAAGAAACCTAAATGTCTGTCAACAGGGCATTATGAGACAAATCTAAATAACCCAACAACTCAAACTTCCTTAAATAAATTTAGGTGTTACAGGACAGTGCACAGCATATAATCTCATTTTTATTGAAAAATAATGTGTATGTGTGCTTATTTTACAAGTTCTAGGAAAAAAAAAGATATACCAAAGTGTTAACAGTGATGGTCTCTGGATCAGATGAACTATGGATTTTTTTTTCTCATATTCAGTATTTCCTGAGTTTTCTAAAATGAGCACATTGTTTTGGAAATAAAGAAAAATAACAACAGAAACCACAAAATGTTTATATTAATGGACACTTAGGTAGGTTCCATTAATCTCCTATTGGTTAGATATTTCATCTGTTCCAAATAACTGCTACTCATCCTTCAGGCAGAGCCAGGACTAGAATTCAGATACTTATGTTTTCCAGCTTTATGTAAAAATGTCCTAACAACTCTTTTTGGGCTCTACAAATTTAAGACTGATGTTCCTAGAGACTTATGAGCTCACGAGTGAGGTCCTAAAGGAAGAAGGTAGAAGATGGTATGACATGCACACCAGGAGTGGGTTTTCAAATAAGCTGAAATATGGAACATGTCTTCAAAGATTCCCCCCAAAATGCTTCCATTTCAACATATTTTTTGTTTAGAGCTGCCACTAAAGTACTGTGTGACCCGGGTAAGACCCTTATAATCCTTATCAAATTCTGAATCTCCATTTCTGTGTCTGCAAAATAACAGCTACTGTTAAATGAAAATCTCCTCTATTTTACAGATAAGAAAACTGAGGTTCACAGTTATGCAAGTGACAAGACTGACACCAGATCTATCTAATAAAGAAGAATAAGGGTAAAGGAATAGTGGATTCTATTTTTATGAGTTATTTTATTTCTTCCTTTAAACACTAAAGAGGCATCAGTAGACCTTTCTTTGTATAATGCAAATGATATTGTACACTATTGGATTGAATTAGAAGGTGCATTGAATTATGATTAACTCATGGCCTCATTTTAACAGCTGAGTAATTAGATCAATCTAATCTTCTGAATTTTATTGCTTATTTTATTATGGCCTATAATCAGTTGAAATTACAATGGGAAGTTCAAGAGTCTCACATAAAGGCAATATGCTCTAACAGGCAACATGCTGTAAGCTAACTGAGTACCTCGGCAAGTTACTTAACTACTCTGCACCTCAGGTTCCAAATCTGTAGAACGGGAATAGCATTATCTTGCCCCATCATTACCAACACGTATTGGGTTTAGAAGTCCCAGCACTAGGAAAAAGGGGGATTCCCAAAGGGTTATGAGGAAATTACCTGAGAAATTACAAGGAAAGCTCCCAGACATATGCTAGCCCTGGTACTCTGGAGAACTCAGTGAAAGGCATAACCATGCAACCTGTCACCTAAGTCAGAGGAAGCCTGATTCTTCCTTCTCCCTCACTTCCTGAATCCAGTATCAAGTCCTAAATTATTAATTCATATTCCACAAATGCTGAATGTCTACTGTATGCCAGATAGTGTTCTCTCTAAAAATGTCTCAAGAGTGTCTTTTCCTGTCCATCCTAAATACCACCCTTAGTTCAGGTCTCTCGACTGACCTCTTTAAAGAGCTCCTAACGTGTGTTCTAACCTCCATTTTCTCTCCCTCTAATCCATTCTCTGCACATATCCAGAGAGATCTTTTGAAAATGCCAATCTATCCATCATGCCTAAACCATTCTGGTGGCCAAGAATAAAAGTTCCAAACAAATATCCAAAGAAGGATAAAGATATTGCTATGGATAAAGTTGCAAAGTTCTTAGCATGGCATAATAATCCTCCAAGTCTTCTATCCATCTAGATGTCCCATTTCCCCTCATGGCAACTCTGGCCTGGCATTTTACACTTTACCAACACCAAACCCAAAGCTGTTCTAGCATACACCATTTGACTGTTCTGCTTCTAGGTCACTGTTCAGGATGTCTTCAATGCTTCATTGTCCTTCCCTTGCCCTTCACCTTATTTCATTCTCCAGAAAGTCTGCCTTGACCTTCCTCCCTTGAGGCTAGAGTAGGAGCCCCTTCTGACTACCCCCCACAACTGGCTTTTCTTATAGCTCTTATCAAATTATATTTCCAAATTGGTTTTCTCAAATTCTCATCCCCCAATTTGGTGGATCTAGTATCAGTCCTGTGATAACTCCCTAAGTTGTGGTTCTCTTTGTCCTTATATGTCACCGACAGGGGTTTCTGCTGGGGCTCTCACTGTCCAAATCTATTTTTTTCAGTTGCCTTCACACTCTATTCACCAAGTGTGTGCCTAGTGCCCTGGCTGTGCCAAGGCAGACTCATCAAACAACCTCCATTTCCCTGCTGACTCAACTCGCAGTGCAGAAAAAGGAAGTGTGGAATTTAGATTCAGATATAGGCTCTAAACCAGTTTTGCCATTTCAGACTCTGAATTCTGGCACGTTATTCCACTCACAGACCTTCAGCCTCCTCTTATGTAAAATGGGATAATAACAATTACTTTATGAAGCTGAAATAATATTAGTAATAAAACAATATTATAACTAATTATGTGTCAAGTATTATGCTAAGCACTTTACACTGATGTCATTTAACCCTCACAGCTCCTTCATAAGGTAGGTTCTACTACTATCTTTATTTTATAGATGAGGAAACCAGCCAGGGAAGCCATTTACTTGCTGAGGCCACTGTGGTAGACCGTGGGTGAGCTAACCCAATGCTCATTCCCAGCCCCCTCTGCTCTTTGACTATTCAGGCTGGCAAAGCTAAAAACTCATTTTTCCAGCCTTCCCAGAACTTAGAATTAGCCATGTGGCCCAATTCTGACCAACGAGATCTACACAGAAATCTCCTGAGAGAATTGTGGGAAAGCCTTTGCTTTCTTAGTAAAAGGACAAACATTACTGATGTTCCTCTATACTCCCTTTTTCCTCCCTCAATCACAGACATGATACTTACAGCTATAGCAGCCATCTTAGATCAAAAGGGGAAAGCCAACAGGTGCAAAAAAGTGCTAAAACTCCCACTCTTGATTTCAGTTTGGGTCATGATCTCACAGTTCGTGGGTTCGAGCCTGCACTGGTCACTGTGCTGACAATGAGGAGCCTGCTTGGGATTCTCTCTCTTCCTTCTCTCTCTCTTCCCCTACCCTGTTTGCTCTCTCCCTCAAAATAAATAAATAAACTTAAAAAAAAAAAAAAAAAAAAGAGGAAAGCCAAAAGAGTCACAGAATACTGGCCCTGAAATCACTGACCTAATAAATCAATGCCATCAGTCATTGACCTCCAGACTTTTTTTTATGTAAGAAAAATATACTTTGTTTAAGCTACAAATAGTCAAGTTTTCCAGTAGCATCTTCAGGTATTTATACTTCAGGCACTTATACTTTGTATAAGTGATATAAAGTAATCAAATGATGGAGCTAAGACTCAAAATAAGCAGCCTTAACCATTAAGCTATATGAGAAACACTTAGCATTGGACTTCTTAGGGAATGGGTACTCAAATGATGAAATGGTTAAAATAATATCAGTCATTCAGCATTCTTCTTCAAAGTTCCAAGCTCCTCTGGAAACTCAAGGATTGCCAGTAACCTAAAATCATAATGTAGCTGCTCAGGAAGAGGCCACCCCTTTGGACACTGTGTCCAGCCCTCTTGTCTGCATTTCTGAATTCAATTCTCCCAGCTCAGGGTCTACCCTAAGGAGGGAAAAGGGAAGGAAGGTCTGGAGCCAGGTCTTGGATGCTCATACCTACCTATCTCATGGTACCACAAAGCTTCCAGGCCGCCTACCATACACACATAAGAGGACAGAGTTCAAGGAACTCAGCATAAACTTACAATCGTGACAGCACCTGTGGTGACAGTGAAAGACGAAATCTTTGGAAGCCAGAGACCTTTGGAGGCAAGAAGTGTGGTTTTGTAGCTTAAACAAAACCACGGACTATTGATTTTTCTGCCTCTTTTCCTGCTGAGAGCAGTAATAGCAAAAATCTGATTTAGACACTTAAATTCAAGTACCTTCCCCACCAGCAGAGCAATTTTCAAGTAATCACACTTTTGACCTCACCCAACATGAGTCCTTTTAAAGCCAATTTTAGGGGCCAATTATTTAGTTTTCCTAACATGTGCAGGGAAAAAGATACGATTGCTGGCTATCCTGCTTGGAAGCTGTAGTTTCTATTCCCATATCCAGGGTTTAGACTGCCTGTTCATAGACCTCCCAATCTGTCTGAGAAGGGGCCAGCCACCCCTGTCACAGATGACACATGATCTCTGTTCTAAAGCTGTTTGGAACTCAAAGGGCATTTCTCAGAGAAATTATGGAATTAATGATGGCAAGATTTCTAGATAACCTCAAAGAACTGGGAGAGAAGAGAATGTCATTTATTGAACAGTTACTAGATGGCAGATAGGAGCATCAGAATCATTTAGGGAGCTTGTGAAAATAGCTTGCTGGGAACTACCTCCTGAGCTTCTGATTCCAGAGGTCTGGGGTAGGGCCTAATAATTCTCATCTCTAACAAATTCCTACACCTGGGACTATACTTAGAAGCCACAGAGGTCACAGAGACTTTGGAAAGCCACAATTTGGTCCAAACTCTCAACCTTTTTCCACAACACAACTGTGTTCATGACAGCAATGATGAGGGATGGATAGGTACAAAGATGGAGCAGATAGGATGTGTATGAGTGTATACTGGGGAAATGGTAAGACAAATAAAAACCAGATAATTCTTAGATACCATTCATGGTAGCTCAGGAGCTGTCAATGGGTTACAGGTGAATTGAGACACTGATTCCTTAAGCACATAGGGTGTCTGGGAAGGAAGTAGGGCACAGGAACTCCCTCGTGGCCTTGTCTGTTTATCCAGAGTTCTCTACAAATACCATCATTTTCTGTGTGGAAGTACTGGCTTAGAGCTAACTGTGCATCACTGGTTTAGAGAAGAGTTAAGAGAAAAACATTTATTCTAAACTCTGCGGTCAATTTGCCAGATACTTATGGACCTCTGAAAAGGCTTCATTATTAGAGGCTTGATCATTTGCCATTTAATCATTCAACCAATCAACAGTTTACTTTGTCCTTTTTTTTAAAATTTTTTAAACATTTATTTATTTTTGAGAGAGAGAGAGACAGAGCATGATTCGGGGCAGGGGGGCAGAGAGAGGGAGACACAGAATTTAAAGCAGGTTCCAGGCTCCGAGCTGTTAGCACAGAGCTTGACGCAGGGCTCGAACCTGCCTACTGCGAGATCATGATCTGGCCAAAGCTGGACACTTAACTGAGTCACCCAGGTGCCCCAAGAGTTTACTTTGAATTAGGCACTATGTTAAGCACTGAGGACACAGTAATTGCCTATGAGAGGAATAAGTGTTCCAGAAATATAAACAATTCTAAGGCAGTAAATAATATAGACAAGTAACTCAGTGATTAAGAGAATGGAATATCCAAACTTAGACTTGATTCTGGCTCCACTACTCTGTGATAGGGACAAGTCTTTCCATCTTCCTTAACTTGTGTCTATATCAATAAAAACTTTGGAAAATAAAGGTTAACTAAAATAATGATGATACAGTTCTCAAACTGGGCACAGGAACCCCTGTGGGTACTCAACAGTATACTAAAGGGTAAATGAGCAAATATAGTGTACTTTCTTGGTAAGGTAATTATACCAGAGGGTAAACAATTTAAATTATCTGTTGTACAGAAAACAACTATGACTATATAATGGTGACTTAAGACAAAATTCTTATGCAGTTTGAAGATAATGCAGGGGCTTCAAGTAATTTTTAACCTTGGAGATCCGCTCTGGGCTATATTCCCCCACTGATTCAGAGATGAATTTGTTCTCTGATGTCAAGTACACTTGGGTAGGAAAGTTTCTAAAATACTGTGCATGGCCAATAATGGATGACCAACAAACAGCAACCATTATTGGTAATAAAAGATAGCTGTTAGTTATTACTAACCCTTCCACAGGAGAAACCAACTTACTCTGTAGTGTCTAGGGTAGATAAAGGTGTCCTCTCTACCCAAGTATCCCTTTTTTCCAAGCTCTGGACTTTTCCAGTTGCTCCCCAGAAACCCTGTGATTCCTTGGGAAGTAGAACTCCCAGGAAGCAGGCCAATTTTGCCCCCATATGCCAGGGAGTTCCCTTCAAAAAAGAATTTCAGCACCAGTAAAGTAGCTAGTCTCATCAACCTCCAGGCCTCCCTGGCCTCAGTCTGCCCAAGGAGTTAACCCCCAGGATAAGAACAATCATGGACCCAGCAGCTCACTCCTAATTAGCTTTGTCTCATTTAAAAAGCTCTTACTGATCAATTATCTCCTTAAAGTCTTACAAACAAGTGATAGATAAGGTAGGTATTATTATTCTTACTTTATAGAGGAGGAAACTAAGGTCCTCCAAAATAAAGTGATTTGTTTAAGTTTTCAGTTAGAGACAGAACCAGGAGTCAAACTCAGGTCTCTGACTTCTAGCAGAGACTCTCCCCACTACATTAAACAAAAGTCATCATTCCAATGAGAATCTACGTAGCACGGCCAAAAATTCAAGTCCTTTATCGATATTTCACCAATTTTCAGCTGTAGTCACAGCCACAAAATTATATTTTCATTGACTAAGAACCATAAGTAACTAATAGAAAATGAAATTAAAGTGCATGAGCTTAATCAGCAGGACAAGGGCCCTAGTGGTGACTATGGTTATATCCGACCTTTCATAGGAGGACACTTATGAAAAGGCTTTCAAGGTTTCCTACTGATCTTGCCCAAGAAGGTCAGGAGCTCTGGGGCAAGAAGCCCTGAGATGATAGAAGGCACAGTCACTATAGGAGAGGGTTCTCAGCTGACTGCATCTTCCCTGTTTCTGAAATCTTCATCAACACCAGGGATTCCAAGAAGGGGCACAGAAAATTTTGTTCAAGAAGCAAAAGAAATAGTTTAAGGGAATGAGTTAGCCAGTTGTTTTAATGAAAGAAGGCTAACAAAAATTTATAGATTAATGCCCAGAATGTTAGAGCTGGAAGGCAAATTGCTAAACAACATATCTAAGCCCCTCAGCCTGGATGGGAAGGGAAGGCAAGGCAAGGCAAGAGAGATGGGCAGGCCTTGCTCCAGCGTCTTGAGTCATTAGCAGCAGACCTGGAACTCGGCTTCTCTTCGTGCTTCCAGACCTAGTTCCATGCCTGACTTCTCAGAAGCCTTTCCTGACACAACCTCTGCCAGAGTTGTGGCCCCTCCCACATACCCACCAAGTTTTCATAGCAATCTGTACATCTATTTATTAGGTTAGACTCTTGGAACACAATGGCACATCCCTTTGCGACAGCATTTATCTCAGTGTGCTGTAACTGTCTACTTACATGTCTGTCTTTCCCCTTCTTAATCTGTGCTCGTTAAGGTGGGGAGTCAATAGAGGGGCAATACACACAAAAGACACACTGTATGTGTTGTCTTCACAAAGCTGATAATCTCACACTTTGAAGAACAGGGTGTGTAAGAGAATTAGAAGGTCAGAGTTCATCTTGAGCAGTTCATTTAGCTCCCTACTGTAGCAGCAGAACCCTTTTTGTCAAACAAAACCTCATCCAGAAGCCTAATACATAAAATGGGCATGAACAGATCTCTACCGGAGGGGAAAGGGGCACCCACTTGGCTTATCTTTCCCTTTAACAGCTCCTAAGGCAACCTCCTACTTTTTTGAATGAGGGAAGTGAGCCAAAATAAAGAAACTATTTATTCTAGGTCTTCCCCTCATTCAGCATAAGATAGAGGTCAGAGGAGGGTCTTTAAAGCCTGGCAAAACTAATGAAATCCTTTATAACCTTGGAAAAGTCATTTAAGCTCCTTGTGTCAGTTTTTTCATCTAGGGTGGGCAAGAAGGACCTTGTCCTCCAAATACAGGGTTTACGAGTTTGCCTTTGATGGCTGAGGGGCTGGCAGAGGCTTGCAGCCATGGTCCAACCTCCCTGGGCTGAAGTTTATTCCAGAGGATTTAAAGAAACAGATGGATAAACAAAATGTGACAGATACATTATATGGAATATTATTCAGTGATAAAAAGGAATGAAATCTCGATACAAGCTACAACATGGATGAACCTTGAAAACATTGTGCTAAATGAAATAAACCAAATAAAAGGACAAATATTATATGATTCCATTTATGTGAAATATTTCAAATAGGCAAATTCATAGAGACAGAGATTTAGAGGTTTCCAAGGGTTAGAGGGAGGGGGGAATGGGGAATTATTATTTCATGGACACAGAGTTTCTGTTTGGGATGATGAAAAAGTCTGGAAATAGTGGAGATGGTCACACAACACTGTAAAGGTACTTAATACCAATAAATTATACACTTAAAAATGGCTAAAATGGTAATTTTCATGTATATTTTACAACAATAAAGCAAAAAAAAATGTAAGTCTACTTATATTTCACTTAAGGTGACACTTAAAAGCTACATGACCTTCAGCAAGTTACTTAATAAGCTGAACCTTATTCCCTCATATGTATAAGGATAACAGTTCTCCCTTGTACGGTTATTATGAGAACTGGAGACAATGTCTGTAAAGTGTGTGGCACTGCACTGACAGTCATTAATGGTAATTATTACTATAATAATTATCAACAGCAAGAGTAACATTATAATATAAACATAATGATAAATAACTTAATCCAATGAATATTTAATGAGTAACTAACTGCTCTGTTCTAGGCACAGAAGGTACAGGACTGCTGCTCAAAGAGCTCACAGTCTAGAAAGACATGAAATAAATGAACAACTACAGAAAACAGGAAGCCAAGAAGGAGCAAGGAAATAATAATCCAACACCACAACCAACACTTCTTTCTTTGGGGGAAAAGGTTGATCTTTTCTACAGAAGTGGGAAATCATTTTGTGATCCAGGAAAGTAAATCTGTCATAAGCCAACAGCAAATTAGTTTAAAGTGCATGATTCTTGCCCAGACAAGATTTAATCCATCTGCTTTTTGTGTTGACATCACACATTACGTATCAGAGGCAGACACACTCACTTCTTGTGTTCTCTCCAAAACCCAGAGAGGCTTTGCCTGACAGCTTGGTGGAATAGGAAGAGCATCGCTGCAATTTACTAACAGCATAAAGTTGCACATATTTATTAACCTGAGTCTTCACCTATAAAATGGATGTTTTAATAAAAATTTCTAGGGGCACCTGGGTGTTTTGACAGCTCAGAGCCTGGAGCCTGCTTCAGATTCTGTCTCCCTCCCTCAGCTCCTCCCCCACCCACACACTGTCTGTCTGTCTCTCTCTCTCTCTCTCTCTCTCTCTAAAATAAACATTAAAAAAAATAAAAAATAAAAATTTCTACCCATAGTACTGTTGTAAGGACTCAATGAAATTACAAATGGTAAAAAGTTTTCTAAGTTGTAAAGTATTGTACCTCTTATTATTATCAGGAGTTTTGTGGGCCCTGTTTTTTCAAGCTTCAGAAGATATCTGTCATTGGTGAGTCAATTTTTGTTTTTTTTTAATTTTTTTGAATGTTTATTTATTTTTGACAGAGAGAGAGAGAGAGACAGAGCATGAGCGGAGGAGGGGCAGAGAGAAAGGGAGACACAGAACCCGAAGCAGGCTCCAGGCTCTGAGCTGTTAGCACAGAGCCCAAAGCGGGGCTCGAACTCACAGACCACAAGATCATGACCTGAGCCAAACTTGGACACTCAACCGATTGAGCCACTCAGGCGCCCCCAATTTTTGTTTTTAAAAGTCAAATGTGGCTTTGTTACCAAAGAAGCCAAGACCCAAAATGAGCCTGTCCAAGGCTGACTACATAGTTAACATTAGGAGGTTTGAGGACAGCTCTTCCTTGCTAAGAAGCTCAAAGGAATCATCAGACTTCAACTATCATTGTTTGAAAAAAGAAAATTTGCTATAAACCAAGTTTGTTTCCTCTGAAGATCTGTGCTATCTATACAAAACTCATAAGTAGAAAAATCTCCCTATTCCATTTAGTCCATACAGAGGGGTTGACCAGTCACAATAGATGATCCAAATTAAATGTTCTGGGCCTCAGTTCATTCACCTACAAAGCAAGAACAATCTCTTCCACATTGGCTACCTGTCCCAGACTCTCCTTGCCATGACAGAGGGCTACTAACTTCTCTCTTTCTTCTCGTCTTCCCTTCCTTCTTTCAAAATTCACTAAGTCTATTCTGCACTAAGTCACTGTGCCAGGTGCTGGTGATATACACGCACACCTTGGAGATACTGCAGGTTCAGTTCCAGACCACTCCAATAAAGTGAACATTGCAATGAAGTGAGCCAAACGAACTTTTCTGTTTCCCAGTGCATATAAAAGTAATGCTTACACTATAGTGTGGTCTATTAAGTGTGCAATAGCATTATGTCTTAAAAAACAATGTACAAACCTTAATTAAAAACAGTTTATGGCTAAAAAATATAAACCATCATCTAAGCTTTCAGCAAGCTGTAATCACTGATCACAGATCACCATAACAATATAGTAATGGAAAGGTTCGAAATATTTTAAGAATTACCAAAATGTGACACAGAAACGTGAAATAAGCAAATGCTAATGGGAGAATGGTGTCAAGACTTGCTTGTCTCAGTGTTGCCACAAACTTTCAGTTTGTAAAAAATGCACTATTTGCAATGCACAATAAAATAAGGTATGCCCATAATGATGACTAATAACAATGGCTACTAATGTTTTACTACCTAATAAGAGCATAACTGTATGCCAGATGTTTTACACATAAGTGCCTTGGAAATTAAAAAGCAGCATAAGGTGAATAGAAAGAAAACTTGTTTAGCTGTCAAAGTTTTGGGTTCTACTTCCAATTTTGGTATCGGTTAGTTCATCTATCTGACTAAAAAATACTTAGTCAATATTCATGGCATGCCAGGGGCTGAGTACTAGGAAGAGAGAGGTAAATCAGATATTGAATTCATGGTGAACTGTAATAGGTGTTGTCCTTAGGCACTTATGAAACCTCAGGTTCCTCACCTGAGAAGAGGATTAGCCCTGATGATCTCTAGTGAAATTATAGCTCTAAATAAAAACATAATACCAGCCACCACTTGGAAAATACAGATACATAAGATGAGCAGGAAATGGGCTGGAGGGATATGAATGGTCAGGTCATAAAAACCTTCTCTTGCAAACTAAGGAGTTTTCAATTCAACCAAAGGACAATGAAGTATCATTAAAGGGTTGTAAGTACTAGAGAACCCCACGTCTGTACTGAGTGCAGGGCCTGCTTCCAATTCTCTCTCTGCTCCTTCCCTGTTCATGCTCTCTAAACAAATAAACAAACAAACAAACTTGGGGGGGTAAAAAAGAAGAAGAAATGGGCAAAAGACATGAATAGACATCTTTCCAAAGAAGACAAACAGATGGCTAACAGGCACATGAAAAGATGCTCAACATCACTCATCATCAGGGAAATACAAATCAAAATGACAATGAGATACCACCTCACACCTGTCAGAATGGTTAAAATTAACAACACAGGAAACAACAGATGTTGGAAAGATGAGAAGAAAGGGGAACACTCTTACACTACTGGGAATGCAAGTGGTGCAGCCACTCTGGAAAATGGTATGGAGGTTCCTCAAAAAGTTACAAATAGAACTAATCTATGATCCAACAATTGCATTACTAGGCATTTACCCAAAGGATACAAAAATACAAATTCGACGGGGTGCCTGGGTGGCTCAGTTGGTTAAGTGTCCAACGTCAGCTCAGGTCATGATCTCACAGTTCCTGAGTTCAAGTCCTGCATCGGGCTCTCTGCTGTCAGCACAGTGCCCACTTCAGATCCTCTGTCACCCTCTCTCTGTTCCCCAACTTGTTCTCACTCTCTCCCTCTCAAAATAAATAAACTTAAAAAAAAAAAAGAAAAATACAGATTCAAAGGGGTACATGCACTCCAATGTTTATAGCAGCATTATCAACAATAGCCGAATTATGGAAAGAGCCCAAGTGTCCATCGACTGATGAATGGATAAAGAAGATGTGGTATAGGAGGCGCCTGGGTGGCTCAGCAGGTTAAGTGTCCGACCTCCACAGTTTGTGAGTTCAAGCCCCATGTCGGGCTCTGTGCTGACAGCTCAGAGCCTGGAGCCTGCTTTGGATTCTGTGTGTGTGTGTGTGTGTGTGTGTGTGTGTGTGTGTGTCTGCCCCTGCTCCACTCATGTTCTCTCTCTCTCTCAAAAATAAACATTAAATTTTTTTTTTAAAAAGATGTGGTATATACAGATATATGTGTGTGTGTGTGTGTGTGTGTGTGTGTATAGATACACACACACACACCCTCTCACACAAATAATGGAATATTACTCAGTCATCAAAAAGAATGAAATCTTGCCATTTGCAATGACATGGATGGAGCTACAGTATATTATGCTAAGCAAATAAGTCAGTAAGAGAAAGACAAATACCATGATTTCACTCATATGGGAAGGCAGGGGAAAAGGGGGCTACAAAAGACAGAACAAACTGAGGGTTGATGGAGGAAGGTGGGTGGGAGATGGGCTAGATGGGTGATGGGTATTAAGGAGGGTATTTGTGACGAACACTGGGTATTACACGTAAATGATGAATCACTAAATTCTACTCCTGAAACTAATACTATACTATATGTTAACCAACTAGAATTTAAATAATTTTGAGAAAAAAAAATGAAAAGAGTTCTATGTATGGATGGTGGGGATGCTTGCACAATAATCTGAATGTATTTAATGCCACTGAACTGTACACTTTAAAATGTTTAAGATGTCAAACAATTTTATGTTATGTGTATTTTACCACAATTAAAAAAAAAAGACAGGACTTAGTAACTGACTTTAGAAGGCAAAAGAAAAAGCAGTATTAAGAAGGACTCCTATGTTTCTGATTTGAGGGAATAGGTGAATGATGGTACTGATTACAAACTGATAAAAGGAAAAATGCATTATAAGGAAAGATAATAGGCTCAGTTTTAGACATGATGCATCTAAACAAAATAGGAGACATTCATGGAGAAGAGGTTCTGAAGACAGCTAGATAATAAACTGGTCTGAAGCTCAGAAGAGAGGTTTGCTGTAGAGCTAGAGTTTATGAATCATCAGCCTACAGACAGTAGCTGGAACTAAGATGAAAGAGAAAGTGGGCTCTTGGGCAACACCAACTTTTACTGGGTGAGTGGGGAAAGAAAAACTGGAAAGCAGACAGATTCAGGAACAGCCAGAGAGGAAAAAAGGAAAAACAAACAGAAAAATAAACAGAAAGACTATGTTGTAATCAATGAAAAGCAAGGAATGAGAAAACTTCCAGAAGGGAGGGATCTGGAGTTTCAAATGATATAGAAGTGTCAAATTAGAAGAAAGGCTGACAAGGGTCCACTGGATTTAACAACAAGGAGATTACTAGTAACCACAGGGAGAAGAGTTAGTAAGAATTCTTCTTAGAGACCTATTTCAGTCATAGGTGAAAGTAATTAATTGACCTGAGAAGTCTTTCCTGAGTAGACATTCAGTCTGAACATCAGAAGGGAGTTTTGTGGAGTAGTTTTCACCATTTCCTGGGCTCATCTAAGATCCTAATCACTATGGTGTCCAAAAGATAGCCAAGTTGGCTAGAGCAGTAAAAGCACTTGCTTTGTAATGCAGAAAATCTGGGGTTTGGGTTCTGCTATACAATGTGACCTTGGGAAGCCTGATCCCATCATTTCATCTGGAAAATAAGGGCTATCTCCCTAGACTTGTTATAAGAAATAAATATGAGGGGGAAAAACCCCACAAAAGGTTCTTTGCAAAGAACAAACTAGTTATAGTTAGTCTTAAAACCTCCATCAGGTGATCCTCACAAAGGAGGGTTAAGGGTGCAGGCCAGGGTCATTGAAGAGAAAGATACTCTTTTTTTTTTTTTAATTTTTTTTTTCAAC